TAGATAATGGATGGATGGAAGTCATCTCAGGGCATTTCACACAGTAAGATGAATGTCTACACTATTATCTCAGACAGTGGGAAGAAAAATTCTCCTTTAACGGAAAGAAATACAAAACATAAGGTTTTCAAGATATTAGTAGAGTTTGGTCATTAAAGGCTTTGTATACGAGGAGGAGGATTTGAAATTCTGTTCTTGCCTCTACAGGGAGCCAATGAGGAGAGGCTAGTACAGGGGAAATGTGATGTGTCTTGCTGGTTCCCGTCAGAACTGTGACTCACTGCAGCACTTTGGATCAGCTGGAGGTCTTTCACAGAGGCGCTGGGACGTCTCGATAATGAGGAGGTAGAATATTCCAGTTTAAGGATAACAAATGCATGAACTCGTTTTCAGCATCACTCTGAGACAGACGTTCCTGACTTTGATAATACTGCGCAGGTGAAACACGGCTGCTTTAGAGACTTGCTTTACATGTGAGTTAAAGAGAAATATCCTGGTTAAATAAAGTTTCTCACACTAGTGCAATCATGTTGTTCAGTTTGAGGTAGATTTGAGGCGTTCTTTTCCTCCTATACGCCCGTGGACTGCTCACACAGGTGTTTCCGCTTGTTTTGCCTAATTAGCCTCCTCAGGACCGTTCAGTATAAAGACTGTGCTTGATTGACTGTGTGATTCCAGCATGGCTCCACTGACTTCAAAAGCAAAGGTCTAATCAACCAGAACAAGTGGAAACATCTGTGTGGGTGTACCGACATGACATTTGTTGTTTTTTTTCCCAAAGTATTTTTCCCAACTCAAATCATGTCATTTTGGCGTGAGTCAGATTTTAGTCACAGAAGTGATTATTTCAACCAGCACTTGACAGATTTTGCTTTTAAAGAAACTTTTCTTGTACTTGGCTTCATTTTTTCATGTCGGCTACAGACTGTATACCATCACCAGTAGACAGTATAATAAAGAGATAAAGCAGACATTAATGCATCTAATGAAACTTGAGGCGGAGGGTAAAGCAGGCTGAGATGCCCTCTGAAAGTGATCATTCCTCTTCTGTCCACCAGTCTTTTCTTTCAGACCTTTTCTTGGATGACTGTGTCCTTGCTAATCTTTAATAGTGTTGACATTTCACTGGTCTGCTGAAATCCAAAGAAAGGGTTTTGTGGTGTTTTGGTGTAACATTTTGACAGAACAATACAAGTGTTGGTGGGGTTTAAAAAAAAAAAGAGAGAATATACATTTAGAAGGTTTTATTTACTGTTTACACAAGAGTCATGTGGAGGATTACGCATTAGTTTGGACAAAAATAAATGCTGTCTTTGTAATATTTGGAAGTGTAAGAGTAGGAATTTTGACAGAAGATGCCTCTCCTGATATGGGGTGAAAAGCCCCCCACGGACATTAGTGAATATTAATACTGTAGGCTAAATTTTTGCTAAACTTTGTATACCATCATCTAACATGATGGCATTAAAGCTAACTCAAAGTAAAAACAAAATGTCATAGTAAATGTTAGAAGTTTTGACTTAAATGTGTCTAAATTAAATGGCAATAATCAACTGTCCAAAAAAACCCAACTTTTTAATGTAATTTCTTTGTATATTAGAAGAAAAAAACATCAAACATTACATCGGACTTATGCATTTGTTTCAACAAAAAATAAAACAACAAATAGCCTGGTTTCTTTGTATTATGTGAAAGTTTAAGACTTTTAAGGAAATATTCAATATGGGGTAAGAAGCCTCCATTGACATTAATGATCTTCAGTACACTAGCCTAAATTAGTGATAAATTATCAACAACATAATCTTGTACAACAACAGAAATGTTAGCCAGCAGTAAAAAGTTGTATTATTATTATTGTCTAGCTATCTGACAACTAATGCTACACTTAGCATGAGCTGGCTAGCTGGAATTCTAACCTACTATAGGCTAAGCATCCTAAGTGATCTGTGATTTAGCATTATTTTTATGTGATTAACTCAAGTATCAATGACAACAACATCACTGTAAATGTATAACTGTTGTCCTAAACTGTCGAAATTATGAAAATGAAGTTACAATTATACATAAGTAACTGGTCTGTATGGATCACCCCTTTTTAATATTTCACATGTACTTTTATCACAGCAGAGTTGTGCTCAATTACAGTTGCTTTAATGGTCTGAAGAAATCAAAAGAAGTGATTTTGACATAAAATGGCACCACGTCCTCACAGTACAAAATAAGCCTCTGCAGCTTTTTATCACCAGCTTTTGTACTGTTAGTATAAGAGTCTACTGGAGGATTATCTGTTCATTTTTAAAAACTTTTTCTGTAATATGTAAAAGTTTCTGACTTTTGAGGGAAAATGCTCTTTGACATGTGATAATGGGCATGATTGATTTTCTTTCCCCAGGTTACCCCATGTTAAGCATATAGTATCAACACTGAAATACATATAAGATCAAATTTACATGTTACAGCAGCTGGATACAGATGAGGCACGGACAAGAATTACTGAAGTACAACAAGGCAAATAAACATATAATAATAAATATAGATATAATATAATTCCTACTGGCTCCTTTTGTAAATATATTTATATATTCTTATTTGTGTTTTATACTTGTATTTTGCACCACTGGAGCTGTCTTTTAATTTCATTGTACTTTGTTTATGATGAATAGAATACAATAGAATAGAATAGAATAGAATAGAATAGAATAGAATAGAATAGAATAGAATAGCATTCTATTCTAATTTATTAAACTCTATTCTGTTCTATACTAATTTATTCTATTCTATTCTAATTTATTCTATTTTATTCTTTTAATCATTATTAAGGATTCTATTCTATTATATTATATTCTAATTTATTTTAATCTATTCTATTCTATTCTATTCTATTCTATTCTATTCATCAGTTAAAGCTGTTTTATCTAAATTTGAAATGTGAAAATGTGTATATGGACAGTTATATTGTACATAGGATTTTATGATTTCATCCTTCAACCCCTGTTGTACTTTTCGTTGTAATTTCTCATCCTGCTTCTTTCATATCTATTCTGTATTTAGCTGCTGTAACGTGAATTTCCCGGTGAGGGATCAATAAGTTTATCTTAACATGTATTTTATTTGAGCTGATTTATTATATATAGTCTCTCACTCTTTTTTTTATTTTTTATGACTTGTGCAGTTTTAGATCCACAAGTGGGATATTTACCATCTTACTTTGTGCTGTTATTTTTAACATATACCTCCCTAATTTAGCCGAAGCAGACACAAAGAGACGTTTGCAATGTCACAACAATCCCAGCTGAGGTCAGTGTTTCTCCACCGGTCGCCTCCTTCTGGACTCACATGTCAGAACCTAAAAATACTGGGCTGCACAATTGGCTCTATTATTAATCAGCGCGCGCATACAGAAGCAGCCTGGAACTGTTTCTTGTTGGGGTTTTATTATTTTAAGACAGTGAACCAACTTCTCCGTGAGTTCCATCCTGCTGCTGTCAGATGCCAAACTGCACAATATGTGGTGTGTTTTAAACCGCCTCCTCACAAAGGCAGACGGGACAGCGAGCACCAGAACCGGCAGCAGCAGCAGCAGCACCAGCAGCGGCCCCGGCGGCTGCAGCTCGGCTCCGGCTGCAGCAGCACCAGCGGCTCCGCGGCCCCTTTAAGGCCGTTTTGGAATAATTAATGACGTCGCGCTGTAAACACGACTGACGCTCAGCTGCGTGGCCGAAGCATCCTCAGACCGAAGAGCCCGAGTCCTCTCCAGGTTCCCGTGTTTATTTCACGACGGCGCTGCTGGGAGGCATTAAAAATAATTGGGGTTCACCTCGACTCTCATATGCGGTCTCCAAAACCAAGACGACGGTGCTGCATCTGTCCTACCAAGTGCCATGGCTAGAAAAACGGACATCCCCTCCTCTTACTATGGTGAGTCGGTTCGTCTTTGTTGTAGAACGCCAGGGATATTTTTCTCCCCTTTGTATTGTAATGACAACACCATATAACGGTGTGTTTTAGTCGCCTGAATGATAATTCACCTTCCTTTTTTCTGCGCTTTCGCGGCTACGTTAGTTAGCTAGCTTGCTTTGTCAGTTGCTAACTATTGGGGGGCTATTTAACGGTTGACATTAAATACGCAGTATCGGTCGGGAATATGTTTTTTTTTTTTTTTTTTTTTTGGACGGATATTTCTAAGAAGTACACGGACGTTTCTTAACAAAACCTCCCATAAACATAGCCGTGTTAACATATTAGCGGTGACATGTTATTTTTTTTCGCCTTGTATTGTTTACCTGGTGGAAAAGTGCCCACAATAGGAGTCTGGCTCCACTTTCCTGCGTCTTTGTTGTAAACGCTGATTTAACGCGATGACAACAGGACACTGGCTTTTTTAGATTTATCATGATCGTTTAGTTTAGCTCTAAAAAAAATAAATCTCAGGAAATCACAGAGAGAAAAACAAATGTTTGCCCAGTGGCCAAGCAGCAGCAGCAGCAGCCATCACGTTGCCTTTGTGTTGCTGTGACACAACACAAAGCCCGAAGTTGCTCAGTTTATTAAGAGCAACTGAGGTAATGACATTAGAGCAGCTGAGGTGATGGAGGAAGCCACTAGTCCTGGATGATTACACGTGATTATGTGTTTCATCTGTCAAATTAACGCCTGGAGCACAATACAGTGTTGATTCAGTGACACGTTTTTTAACATTTAAACTATTAAAAGGTGCATCCGACGTCGATGTGTAACCAAAAATCAACCCTTTTAATCAGTAATGAATGAACAACTTCTGCTAGATGAGTCTAAAATAGCAAAACAACTGCCAGAATTTAGTTTGATCACCATCTAACTGGTTAACCATTGACATGTAACTACACTATCCTTATTTATCTTGAGTGATGCACCTTGCTCTTATTTAAATGGCCTTTAGAGAGATGGGTTGCCAATTTTTAAAGCAAATTCACAACTTTAAGACGCTGCAACTAATAAAAACGTGTCAATTTTGCTCTAAACAGTATTGATGGTTATATATTTCAGTTATTAAATTAAGAATCAAACCACAATTAAACGTGATTCAGTCACTGTCAACATTTAACGCATTTAAAGGTTCGTTTTAAGCAAAAATCAACCTTTTTTGACCATTAATCAATGTTGAATGGAAAAACTTCTGTACATGTGTCCACACTAACAAAGTCGCTGCTGTAGTCTCATTTGATCATCAACTAATCAATTAACTATTTGGTGGTATCTAATCATTCAATGACCTTCATCTTATTTATCCAAATGACACTCCTTGCTGTGGTTTACAGAGACTCGTTTACATGCTGGTAATGCCAGTTTTTACCTTTAGGATACTACAGTTAAGGACATTTGTGATTTTTGCTCTAAAGAGTCGTGGATTATTCCACATAATGATGTCATTTAACCATCAAATTAAAAATGAAACCACACTACAATGTTGATTGAATGAGATATTATTAACATTTAAACAATTAAAAGTTAATCCAACGTTGAGTTTTAACCAAAAATCAACCTTTTTTTGATCATAAATCAATGTTGATTGAACAACTTCTTCTGTCTGGATGCACATGATCAAAGTAGCTGCAACAATTTTGAGCGATAATCAATTAACTATTTGATGTTAACCAGTTGTTTAATGACATTACTCTTATTCATCCAAATGACAATCTTTGCTGTGATTTACAGGAACTAGTTTACATGCTGGTAATGCCAGTTTTTACCTTTAGGATACAATAATGTATTTTAAACATTAAATTAAAAATGAAACCACACTACAGTGTTGATTGAATGACATATTATTGACATTTAAACTATTTAAAGGTTAATACAACATTGAGTTTTTACCAAAAATCAACCTTTTTTGAACATAAATCAATGTTGATTGAACAACTTCTTCTGTCTGGATGCACATGATCAAAGTAGCTGCAACAATTTTGAGTGATAATCAACTAATCAGTTAACTATTTGGTGGTATCTAATCATTCATATACATTCATCTTATTTATCCAAATGACACTCCTCGCTGTGATTTACAGGGACTTGCGCTAGATAGGTGCTATTTAGCTTGATAGACATCACATATGCAGCATTAGTAGCACTATCAGTATTTTTTTGTAAATGTTTGAAGTACGTGGCATGAGGTCGTTTTCTTTGAGTGCTTGTTTTTTTCTTAGTTAACTCCTGTGCGTGAGGTTTTTTGCTTTGTATTGTTAACCAGGTGTAGATTGACAACAAGCGTAACTAACAATTAGTCTTAGTCGACTTTTCACCGTCTAATTTTACATGATCGGTATCTGGTTTTGAAATGAAGGTTAAACGTGTTGTCCCTTGTTTAACAGATTTAATAAGGATTTATTGTCGCCATGTGGCATTTTCTCTGCTCCAGGCCTGCGGTGGATATTTTTAATCCGTGTGCAAATTTTCTGTCCATTAGCCTGCCTTAGTAATCATGTTGTTTATCAAAGCAATATAATCCCTTGTCAACACCAGATGCCACACAGACAGCAGCGTCTTTCTTCTGAAACAAAGAGAGCGTCACACTGGCCATTTTTACCAGACTGGTGGCCTTAATACTTCCACAGCTAATAATAATTGGTTCTATATTTAGGAATCTTCCATGTAATTGCTCACAAGACAAATATGTGGTGCTTCTTTCATGATTTGACTTTTTTTTTCTTTGGCTACGATCAGGATACCTTCAGACTATAATGGAGCACTACCTTGCTTTTAAAATCCAGACTAAGTGATCTACCCAAATTGTTGTTGTAAAAATGATAAGAAAGAAAAATAGATGGCATTTCATTTCATTTTCATGTCATTATATGTAACTTCAATCAAACAATGCGCTGATCCACTATGTGACATTTGCAAAAAGGCAAAAAACCTAACTTGTACAGTGCCTGTAAAAAGTATTCCACTTCTTACCTTTTGTTGCTTGTCAACGTGAAATTACGTTCATTTAATTTGATGAGCAAGACGTATTGAGACCCATCCACGCTGACTCAATGCTGTAGTTGTGGCCAAAGGTGTGTCTACAAAATACTGACTGGAAGAGGATGTTTTTATTGAATGGAATTACTTTTCAGAAATCTGTTTTCACTTTGACGTGAAAGAGTCTTTCTTTGGGAAAATTTTCGCCACAAAAAACAAAATTAAAATCACTACGATTCAATGTTGAAAAGACTTACAAGGAGGGAGAATACTTTTATAGGCACTGTATATCAGAATGTCCCCAAAGATGATCCATCCATCCATCCATCCATTTATCCATCCATCCATCCATCCATCCATCCATCCATTATCTATACACCGCTTAATCCTCACTAGGGTTGCGTGGGGGCTGGAGCCTATCTCAGCTGACTTAGGGCGAAGGCAGGGGACACCCTGGACAGGTCAAGATGATTCAGAACCTTATATAATGTATTTTTGGGGGGGGAATTATTTTTTTGGCCTTTTTGCCTTTATTAGATAGGACAGTTGAAAGAGAGACAGAAAAGTTGGGGAAGGGGTTGCAGCAAAGGGCCATGAGCGGGATTCGAACCCATGGCCGCTGCATCAGTGACTATCGCCCCTGTACATGGGTCGCCAGCTCAACCAGGTGAGCTGTAGCGGCAGCCCAGAAACTTATATATTTATCAACTTTTTCCTGTCATGCTCGTCGGTGCCAGCACACTTTCACATCATTATCCAGTGCGTCGTATCGTCTCTGTTCAAATTAGTCACTACGCCCTCAATAGCTGTGGAGAAATACAGTAGATACAGTAGCTGCAGTGTCTCTGAGTAATGCAGGCTTTGTCGAGTCTGCTCCTGACAGCTGTGGATGGAGGGGGGAAAGCTACTGTGTCTTCCTGTTCTTCCCCCCACATCCTGACCCGGTTTGTCCCTCAGACCTCATGACTCCACCATTCTGCCAATCAAGAATGCAACCTGTCAGCTGTAACAGATTTCCACCGCTCTCCGCAGACATGCAACTCACCATTGGGAACGTCAAGCCCCATCACTCCCTCCCCCGTTCGCCCCGAGTTCAAGCTGGTACTTTAGAGCATACCATAGATCTGACATTGGGAATTATATTTGAAGTGCTGTAAGTAAACGGCTTAGCGTTGAGTGAAACACAAAGGAAAACATGAGTGTCTTTGTTAGTGTATGGATAATTTAGACAGATGCATCAGCTAATATGTACCATACTTGCATTATTGCATTATCCCAAGTGCTGCTCTCCAGAGAATTAGACAATATATCGAGACAGTTTAATTAAGGAACATAATTTTGCCTTAACAGCGTCTAACAGCCTTTGCTAGTGGAGCATGGCGTGGAGTTACGGTGCCTCCCAGTGTTTAGGTCAGCTGCTTTATGTTGCCGGCTCTCTGCTGCTTTCGTTCCTCGGCAAAAGATGCAATTTAAAGTCTCACATGAACGGAAAACCGCAACATAAATTTTTATGTCAGAATGCTACACCCCATAATGCTGTCGTGTTATATTGGGAAGTAATGTTTCCCACGCTGCGTTTAAGTGTGGGATACATGTGGAGTGCATGGAAAAAAAACAAAAAGACCCTTGCATTTCTGTCTTTCTGGCTTTGTTTACTGGTTTGTTTTCCATTCTTCCGAAAGTGGAGAACTCAATCTATCATTTCCAGTTCAGCAGAAGTAGAAAAAAAGCAGAGGCATCTTTTTTTTTGTGGAAGAATTGCCAGTGATTTTTATTTTTTTTTTAACGGGAAGCTCACCTACTCTCTTTCTGGTAAATGTAGGAAGTGAATAACTGAGGTAGACTGGGCAGAATATTGGTGATGAGTCCTGCTGTCACTTTAATTTGCTTGATGATAACAGAAATATCACCTACCTCTAATACAAAGGTGGATTCCTTTTTTAAAATTAATATAATTGCCATATTGCGCGGTGTTAGAA